AACACCATCCGCCCGAGAACCGTTTTGAGCCAAACTCAAGTTTTTCGAATTTTCGAATATATGTTCAAGGTTAAAAAATGGTTTATTAGAAGCCTTTAAAGGTGTTTTCATTTTTAGCCTTTCAAAATATTGTAAAATAAATAAAAAACTCTGTGAACAAAGTGATCTGAAATTTTTACACATATTTAAATTGACCTTCACCACGTTGTTTTTGTCCTTTCATGTCAAAACACCTCAGTTATATGCCTGAAACAGATGAAAACAAGCGACGCATTTCTGTTTAAGAATGTCTTATCAAAATGTTCAACATGTTCTATCCTTTCAAATTAATTCAACAAGAATGTCTTGAACAATAGTTGTTTTAACTGTATGTCATGAAGCCAAGATCAATTCAATACATCAAAGAAAATGTTATCATTTAAGCTGTTATAACTAAAAGCCTAATACAGTCTGATGTCAGATATCAATATCCTAGAACAAAAGTTAAATTTTCTTGTTCAATATTCATCAAGGGTTAGATAAGCGAGCCATATCTTCATATTTTCTATCGTGAATCATAAAATGAAAATAAAGAATAAAATGAGCAACTTCTTTTGTAGTTGTTGCAAAATCCATGATAAGAAAGGTTTGTATGAGGCATTGCAATATGTTTGCGCTAAAAGCATAGCATTGATCAACTATTATACTAATTATTACTGTTAAGGAAATAAATCTTTTTGAAGTACAAGCATCACTGGATATGGATCTAAGGATGACATGCTTGAATCCCCGCTACAATATAAAAAAAAGATCAACAAGGAAGGTCGGCACCCAATATAACATCCCTCAACATCATTATTTCAAACAATTGTGAATTAGACCTTATGAAATCAAAGGTCCCATGTGTTGGTGCTCTACTCCTGACAAGAACAAAGGTGGTCTCAAGAACAAGATAAGTGCTGTATCTATGCTTTATCTCCGCAAATAGATAATTACTTTTCAAAGATATTGCAAAAGTAAATAATCAGACACTCTTCGCTAAAGCATAGGCTGTAAAGGTAAATAACGATACAATAGCGCCATTATAATGGACACTTTCTAACCGAATTTGACATTGTTAACAAAATTGTATTCAAGATTATGGAAAAGGCATTTATAATAAATGTGTAAATATACAGTCATATCTTTGTGTTATATACCTGTTCATGTAATGCATGTAACACATGCATAAATATGAACCGACAGAGAAAAATCTGCATTACACTCTAGTGTAATCCAAAATGACATCAAGCTTCTCGTATAACAAATCTATTGTGTATTGTTGGGAGGATCACATACTTCAGCTATGTGAAAATTAATGTTAAAATTAAAAACATAATCATTTATCTAATGTCCTTACCTATAGACACGTTGTCATGCAGCCATCCGTCTACCTTAACCGACCTGTTTCGGGTCTTCGTTTCCAAACTTGTTTGATAAGTTTACGAATGACTTTTGTCTTGTAAATTTTTTCATTAACAAATTTGCCTTTAGGGATAACAAAATGGATGACGGGACCCTGAGTTGTAAAGACAATGGCATACCTTCCTATACTGACTTTTTCCAAGCTTTTGCTAAGCTTTGAAGCCCACATCCTGTGTTTATGTTTACATTTTTGCTCATATATGTGATCTCATGTATCGCCATCAGTAACATTTGCAAAATTCCATGCATTGTTATTTGGAAACTGTTTAGGCAACAACATTTTGCATTAAATGTGAGCCTGTTTCTGCTCATATATCGGCAAATGGGGTGTCCATCTAGCACAGATCTTTTAATTTTTAAATCACGCTGCTGCCAAAGATACAAGCAATTTGCCAAAAGATGTATCTTGCATCGGTGCGTACTTTTTGTTTTAGTTAGCAACCGTCTTTACATAGATATATGACGTTGTTTCTAAATTCAAAGTTTTACCAGTTCATGTTAAGCCGGTGCGTATGGGGGCGTATAAGGTAGATTGCAATTACCAGTTCCGTCCACATACAGGTTCAGTCAAACCAAGCTTGCAACATTTGCAATTATTGGCTTTCTCTAAGGGATTCTATTTTAGGCGGGCGGGCATAGGGTGCATCTACAGTCAGAATTACGCCACTGGAAATACCGGTAATTAAAACAAACGAATAGCTAATGAAAAAAACATTTTGATTGTCCATACACAGAACACAAATTTCATTGAAACTCTCTTTTGTACCCTATACTATGGAGACAACGGTTCTAAATATAAGACCGTATTTCAGTGGCATACTCTGATCTTCTACCAACTATTTTGCATTACAATATACGTGTAGACAATGTATAACAAACTATAAAGACAACACATGTGAACAAATTTTGTAAATGTTGTATCCTTGTAGAGCTAGCATGATCTTTCATTTTGTCGTGTTTTCCGCACAATAAAGAACAATATACATGTAACGTTCTAGATATATTCATATTTAGACACTTTTTTTTTGGTTGAAATTTCTGATAAAAAATGTTGATTAACCATTTAATTATGCAATTTCCTCGTCGCTTCAAAGTATCATACTACCCTAAGATAATAACCGCACATTTCCAGTTCATTTAGTAGCCAGAGAGATGTTTTAAAAATGATATTTCAATAAATTTTCTTTTAAACTCAAGTACTATGTTTTGTTTACGTGCACACATATCCTATAAAGAGGGAGATCCCTCGAAAGCACCGAAAAGTAAATTGCGTAATCATTTTGACATTTGTCAGGAAAGTGCAAATTTTCTCACATTCCATGGCACTGAGTTCAGCAGTATATACTTAACAACCCTGATAGTTCGTACATTCAATTTATATCACTAATATCCTTTACATCGATAGTTTCTGCTGCAAATTGCACATTGAGTATTTGTCTGACTTTAATCACAGAATATTGTGATGACACCTAACACGCGACAGGAAATTAAAGATCATTCTCAAAGAAATAATTTCTAGTACTGCGTTATATATTGCATCCTTGCCTCGTATATTGATTAAAGGACAAGTTGGGAATATATCAAATTTCGGAAGAAACATATTTCTATGCTGCATATGCTTTAGTCGTATTCGATTTCTAATTCTGTTGAATTATTTTTCGAGAGACTCTATGATGGACACTTCTTAAAGCCCTTTGGGACTGAATTGTCTTAATGTTCGTCTTCTGTCTTACTTTGTCGGGCCCTTGTAGGTAATTTTCTTGTTGCTCTGATTTTCTTTAAGGCATCGAGTACTTTGTTAATGGTCATTAGGCTGTACCTTTTTCTACATATTTATCTTTTACGTGTTTTATTTATTTCGTCTAATGTAACCATGACCATTGTTAGAATTTTACTTGGAGGGTATTAATTTTATTTAGATTTTCGTGTCATTCAGGAACATATTGGGGCTAAAAGTGAGGTTTGGCGCGCGTAAAACCGACCGTTCCAAGACGGTACCCCTCTGTGTTCCTTCACGTGTTTTTCATGTCTGTATTGTTAGTTTTTTATGGTTGTTTACATGTTTTATGATGTCTGTCTTGTTCCATTGTCGTTGACGGTAGGTATTTTCTCACCCCCCTCCCCCTTCTCCCATTTTTGATCGCCCCCACCCCCCTTTCACCCTTACAACCTTTATTCCTTTAATTCCCATATGGGCCTGTTTAGTGAATATTATTTCACATTACATGTCCCACTCCTTTCACCCTTATGTCCACTACGGGTTTTTGTTTGTTGTCTTGTGAGTGCCCTACTTGGGTCTGTCGGGGGGCTGCATCCTGTGAACGTTGCTTTGCCTTGTTGATGTGTATTCTTGTTTTTTTCATGCTGTCTTTTACTTAATGAGACTCATTTCGTCAGAGGAATACGTTGCTTACATTAGTTATCAATTTAATGACAACTTTGAGAAATCATAACATCAAATAGTCGAAATGACAATTACAAATAAATGGCACAAGTTGTTTCAATAAACAGTCATTATATTACCTTACTATAATAACGATGATTAGATTGTGTTGATATTATAAAAAGAGAATCTTGTTTTCTTGCTTAATTTCATTTTTGTGTAAATCTATTGCATTCTAAACTGAAATTACTTGATAAATTATATGAAGGCTTAAGAAATTTGCCTAGCCGCATTGCGTGGTACATTTCGTTAAGTGGCCATTCAGAATACTTGTAGCATGTATACATTTCAAAACTATGATTTGTCTGTGTTTGTTTGATTGTTTTTTTCGTCACACCGACACAGTTTATGTCATAATGCGACGTTCAAACTGGTGGAGTGTACTTCCGTGCCTTATTTCATGCATGAACGAGCGGGCTCCCAAACTATAATTATGTTAATATAACTTGAAATATTCTCAATTCAAATGAAGATCTTAAATCTTAATCAGTTTGAATTGTAGCTTTGAATTTATATTAACACGAACTCTATTACATTTTGCTATAAATTTAATTGCATCTTATCTAAGATACATATCTTTAAATGCATTAGAAAAGAAAATGAGGAACGGGTTAGAAAAAACGGAAAACACTGCCAAATTTATTATAATTTTGTTTTTATTATATTAAGAAAGATATTTAAATAGAACAGTTTTATTCAAAAGGTCTATATAAAAGGAAACAATATACCAAAATTTGAAACAAAACTAGACAGACATTAATATACATTATAACATGTTAACACATAAAAAACTTAACATTAATACATTATATATTTAAATTATTCAACAATAGGAAAGTCTATCAAACGAATACATGTAAATAATTAAAATGCATATTATGCCAAGACAAATTGGAAATATTTTATCTTAACATATGTTGCATCTTTTGACAAAATATTTCTGACATGTACAAACATATTAATGCATTTATTGGCAATAAAATTCATTTAAATAAAAACTACATGATACGTGTTTTTGTTACAAGATCATATAAAATCACTTTAATACAATTTAAGTATTTTATTAAAATAATTTAGTTCCTGAATTTTTGCTTTTAATTGTTCGTTAATTTTTTATAATGCTATTGTTTTTCTATTGTGTGTGTGTGTTTTTTTATAGTAACCCGTTTGACCTATGCAGACCAAGATAAGCCGGCACATACACGTATGTGTCATCAACATGTATCCATGGTATCCATAGCCAACTATTTATTCAGTAGTTAGTTTTGAAATTCTTTCTATAAACAAATTATGATTTTGACTATATCGAATTAAAAAACGACAAGGGCATGTAAGATATAAATCGTGGTAAGTTTTAACTTATTGTAGGTCATTGTGTCATATAATGTTACCCTTAAACCAAGACAGCCTAAAGAGCAATAGACCTTACGCTAACAAAAACAGAAAGATTCTCCCAATCGTTTTGTCATGAAATGAAAAAAATAGAGATTATACAACATGCGTAGATTGTGAAACAGCACCTTGAATTCAGACAATGTCCTGGTTTAAAGTGTTCATGGAGTCTTGTAATCAAATTGTGATTTAAACAAGACTCTCTTGAAAACTAGGGCGTCTTCTTTTAGATCCACTATTTGTTTCATTTGAGTTTCTAGATCTGTTTTGGTTTGATCCTGCATACATTTTTGTACGTGGTGAATTTGTTTTCCTTGTTTTGCTTTCACCGATATTCCTTCTTGGTGAGATCAAGTTATTATCATGAATATCACATGAAGTTTTGATATCATTTACTTTTATGTCTGTAATGATATATTCATTCTCTTCATTCAATGAATTAGAAACACTTTTATCCAGTGATAGTTTTTTAAATGTCACATGTTTGTCATTAACATTGTTAGTTATAACGCACGATTTAGATTGATCATCGTTGTCGTTCAGTTCACTATCATTTTGTAAACAGAGGTTACTATTAACATTCACACTTATCTCATGATTGTTGCATACATCTTTATTATTGTCGTTGATAGTCTGTTGCTTGCTTGAAACATGATCAGTGTACACATACTTGTTGTTAAGATTATCTGTATGTGCTCCTGATTTTGTCGGATTCATAACCTCATCGATATTGCTTAAAATTTGCTCTTTTGCCTCTAATAATTCATTAACGTCATTTTCTGTTCCATCAATATCTTTTGACATTTCGTTAAGATTACCAGAATGGCTATTTGGTGTAGGACTCACGTGTATAATTGAGTTTATTACCCGTTGTTCGGACGGCTTGTGATTGTTTATATTGTCAACAAGTACTGGTGGTGTACTTGAGCGAAACATTGGAGACGAAACAGTTGACACACGTTTTGTAAATTTGCTAGGATCCAGTTTTCCCTTCTTAGCACCAGCTTTAAATTCGTCAATTGACAAACTGTAAATGAAATAAGAATATTAATTGTACAACCTATTTATAAATTGAGGGCAGAAAATGATTTAGAGAAACTAAACGTCACCACCTAATAGGTTGAGATTATTTATTAAAGTCGGCTAGTTGCGATCATAACAATGATCTTCATCAGGTTAAAACTTATATATAACTAAAATGTGAATAATTCAAATCGAACTTGTAATGTATATGAAACATATCAATTTCAGCATAAACGCTTTATGAGAGTTAAAAAATTACAATTTTGAAATTCTTAAAAAAAAACACATTTTTTAAAAAAGGTATGACAGGCTAAGATTTGGTTTGTGACAAATGTGGACTGTTAGGTCTAAGGCGGGTAGTTCATGTAGTTTTCTACAGTCTTCATCATGTTTCTCGGAATGCTTCTTATTTTTCCTCTCTCTTTTTAAATTAATTCTAATTATACTTAATTTGTTACTTAATGTAGAGCGCAAATTTTTAGTTATTTTTTCAATAGATCCAACGAACATGTGTACCTACCCATGATTGTCTCCACTTTATGAAGCAAAATAGAAAACATAATGCAATCAAATTAAATATATAAGCGAAAGACAAATGACACAAAGTAGTAGAAGATATATTAAAAATGATTACATTACTTTTGTGCCAGGCTTTATATCGTTAACATAAATAGATGTTGTACGTTATGAAAGTTCGTACCACATTTTAGACAATGTTTAATTCTTTATGAAGTAAATGCTGACGAATAAAGCATAGATGAAAATAAAAGTGGTTATCTATTCATAACAACTGTCTGCAGTTTCATGCATATTCGCTGTTCGATCGACATTACTAACTTCTGCTATCAGTAAACATGCATAATACGTTATTGTTTATCTTTACAAAAGCAGCAAAGTTTATGTAAGTAAACTAATTGGGAAAGGACCTGTTCTGCGGGAACATTTGTTTTCTAGAATAAATATAAGAAAATAAGAAAACACATACTTAGATAGAGGCGGAGGATCGGGTAGATCTTTCTTGAACTGATCTTTTCCAATCAACCAGAACGTCTTGGCCATGCCTTTTCCCTGCAATTTTTTTTTTTCAAATATATCACATACATTCTGATGTTTTTTAATTATTATTTGTTTACAAGAGAGAGGGCTTTGTTATTAGCTTGCTTTAAACCACTGTAATCCATATATAAACTCAATAAAAGTAATCCTGCAGCATTATCATTTTTAACCGTTTGAGGTAAACAACAGGGTTTCCTCTTTCAAAAAACATGACTTTACATATTCAACCCTTTGAAATACTTTTAATATATTGTTGACAAAATTTAGCGTTCCTTTTAATAAGTTTATGATTCTAATTATGTTGTTATCATCAGAACAATAATTAATTGAACAAAATTTAACTTAAAAAATAAACAACAAACATAGCTGCCAATTAATCGTAATTATCCCTTAGCTATACACAACACTCCAAAGTGATCAAAAGGTTTCCAATTATCCGGATATCAACAAGTACAATGTTTGCCAAGAGCTAATTGTTTTAGTATTTCCAATTATTGTGAACGCTATCTTATATGCATGGTTCTGATAAAATAGTAGACAATTAGCATTTCATCAAATAAAATGTGATAAATATCTATTGATGAAGAGAAAGTGCACCTAATTAAGAGCTCATTCGCTTTAAATTGCTTAACAAAGATAATTACGCATGTCGTTTGTCTTTCCTCTCCGCAGTTTAATTAATTATATCACTATCTTATCAATTTTATTACCTTAAAAACTTAAATTAAATGACAAAATTTACAGGTCCTTGTTTTATTTATGAAACGTGTTGTGATTAATTGAATCACCACTAAGCTTTTAATCAACCATAATTGGAATGAACATTTATATTCTTCACTGACCTTCAGCTCAACTTCGCCTCGATATTCAGTTTGATAACCACCAAGTAGATCAAGTATTGTTTTAACAGTTTCACTGATATGTATTCGATATGCTGAAACAAATAAGTTTAAAGTTTTATTTAACAGGATGCAATCTCTTTAACTGCTTCCTTTTTCCATACATGGAATAATAAGATAATTGATTAGACGACCAAGATCAAAATGAATGTTCAACTATCCAACAAATGATGGAAAATATCATCTTCATATCTTGATAATTATATCGTTAAAATGACACAGATAGTTTTATTTAAAGAACAATTACATATACAAAGTAATCCACACAAAGAAAGAATTATTCATTGTCATTTTTGATTGATTAGTCTGTTTAAACGACAATTTTAACACAAACGTTTGTCATATCAAACCGGCAGCTTTTCTGGATAACAATAACCAATAATTATTGTCGATAATTACTGATTACAAGATTTTGAATCAGGGTTGGAGACAATTTAACATCACTCGGAATGTCCAAGATCAATTGTCTTCGACAAACGAACAAGCCACTCGTGGATTACATATCTGATGTTTGAGCAAAAAATATTGCATGTCGATATAATTATATGATTATTCATATTATATCTTTACCTGCACCGGTAGATTCCATCCTCGAAGCAGTATTTACAGTATCACCAAATAAACAATATCTCGGCATAGTAAGACCAACAACTCCAGCCACCGCTGGCCCTGAAAAACATAGTGGCATATTTTGCATCTTTCGTAGTCAATGGCCAATAGGTCTTTCATCAAATTTACCTTGGAATTAAATATTAAGCTACTTATAAACGTACAGCTACGAGATGCAAAATGCAAATTATATTCTGTACGATAGCAGTTCTTTCACTACATTAAACTTTAAAAACGTTCACATTACTGTATTTCGGAAGATTTTAAAATATTTAATGAAATTAAAAGTGTGGCTATATCAAATACCTGAATGAAGTCCAATTCTAACCCTGAGAGGCACTTCCGGCATATGTTTTATTGTGAAATTTCCGCATTGTGAAAGAAGATCTAACGCCATTGTTGAGATTTCGCCGGCATGCCGATTACCGTTCCTTATCGGTAAACCACTGCAAACCATATATGCATCTCCTATTGTCTCAACCTAAAACATAAAACAGTTACCTTAAATAAAGTCTAAAATTGGCAAAATGTAGAAGGTTGCAGATTCAATATACAGTCGATGTCCAAAGGAAACGTTAAAAATTAAAAATAACTTTAACAAGTTATTGCTTCTGATTTTAATTTGTTGTCATTTTGAATTTGCTCTAAACAACGTTACACCGATCGGAATCACTTCATATAGACAGTTAGACTATTTGAATATCATCGATGTGAAACGACTCATCAAAGTGGAATCACTTATCAAAAGCTTATACTTTATTAAATACAACTTCGTCCCTGTCAGAACATAAACAACATGTAGATTTTTCTAAGAATTCAAACTTAAATGAGTCAATCGCACTGACAATTTTAACATTTTAACTCTAATGCTTACTCTGCTAATGTGATTAGCCTTTGATACAAGTATACAGGCAGGTCGACTTAAATACCCGTTTAGTCTGAACAGGCAGTTTAATGTTGGTAGCTCGTTGTTTTTGTAACTCAATAGTGAAATCCCTAACAATTTTATTGAATTTCAAAGCACACGCCCAGTACACAAAGTAAAGAAGATTAGGGTTCAAATGAAGGTTCTTACTTTATAAACGTCATATGCATTAATAGTTGCATCAAACATCGTATATAGATCATTCAGAAGGTCGACCACTTGCATAGGAGTACTGTTGGCAGAAATTGTTGTAAATCCGACAATGTCGGAAAAGTATATTGTAACTTCAGAAAACTGTTCAGCCTCTACGTTACGTCCACATTTCAAGCTATCTGCTACAATTCTAAAATATCAAATTATCTTCATAATCTCATCAAATAAATCATTAAATAATATAAAGAAGAAATTTAAAGAAATATATTACACATAAAAATATCAAACCAATTCAGAACTACGATACTGCTTACTTATTCTACTTTTGATGCACCTGGAAGCTAAGATTTGCGAAAAATATGAAAAACAAGATCAACAAGGAAAGGCGGCGTTCAATGAACGCAACCCCCATATGACCCAGCAACAAGAACCAACGGCAAGGAGCCCAGGCGGACCCCAAAATGTCTTTCACAGAATACAAATGTTTATGGAAAACAAAATGAATGATGTGCATACGTGACGATGCATATAGTAAACTCAATTTGTACACTTCAAAGTGTGACAAAATAAGAAGAAGATAAAGAATTGTATGATTGACAATTAAGTTTGCGGAGTTACGAGAATAAACTTCTCAGATAAAGGGCTTAAATTGTTATTGCAAACTTTCTTTCTACTTCAGATGAAGTATATCACAACATTGATTGGAACACATATAGAGATGTCCTAGAGGTTACAATCTCGATAACAGACATTCGAGGTTGTATAGTGCACATGAAACATATACATACAAACAGTGCTCTGTTTAAAAAATACACAATGCTCTGACAATAACCGACAAATTTGTTGTATACATTTTCATTGTTAAATATCTCATTTAAAGGTTACACTGCTATGTCTACGATATCTTTATTTAACCTAATAGCTGGCTAAAGTACGGTTGATATTCTAATTGCAAAAGGGAACAAGTATAATCTTCTTTTTATAAATATATATTGTTTTTCTACGAATGATATTTAACAAGTTTAGACAGTGTTTACAAAGTCTGGTAGATCAGTATAATTGCAAAGGAGTAAAGTCTTCTGGAAAGAATAGGTCTATTCTCTCTGTATCCCTGAAGTCCCTGAAAACCCTGTATAAATGGTAATATCTAGCTTTTATTGGGAATATACTATTGTCTCTCACCTTGGAAGCATTCGATATAAAAGAAGCTCGGTTTTCTTCTTTTCCTCCTCTAGTTGAAGTGTTCGGTCTTTTACTAGGTCTTCTAAATCGGTTGAGTATTTCTCTAACATCCGGAACATGGTGTCGACTATGTTCATTTTTCTAAACGTAACATAACAAAATTATCTTATTTTGATTAGATAGAGAAAAACAGAATCCCTTTATATCGCCCAAATCGAAAAACATTTAAAAAATATTGCAGGCTCGGTTTGATCGGAAGGTACTGGAAAATGCAATATACCGTCCACGCCCCTAGCACCGGCTTACAACTTTTTCCTTCATTAGAAGATAAAACATTTTTGTTATATGAACATAATTTAATAGTTACTTTTTAAGCTACACAATTCACAATTATATGTACAGATTAGATCCTAGCATTACAGAGTCCGGTTTATCAAACTGATAGTTCATTTAATATATATAATTATCAAAAAATAAATTAACTTTAACGATGAATGAATAAAATATATTCTGACTCAGAGTTTTCAAGTGAAACAAGCTTCTACTAATATGAGAGAAGGGACCTTACTTCCCGCCGGTAAAGGTTTTGAACTGTTGATAAATCTCTTCCATTCCGGGCCGCATTTCCGGATTCTCCGTCCAGCAAACTTTCATCAGTTGTATATACTGCGGTGGCGCTGTACCATGACTAACTGATGGTCGAAGTAATGGCGGAGGATGTTTCAACTTTTGTAAAATTTCTGCATAATTAAAGTACATAGTATATGTGACAATGAAATAAATTACAATATGTACACAAATGAAATATGAAAAAGCAAAATTCATTACTTTAGATAAAATGCAAAAATCTAACACGTCAACTTCTTCCTCCTGTTTAAGTAGGGCTACATTAAACCAGATTAATGTCTTTTCATGTCCAATTTTTATATTTCTGCTGAAAGCTTGTCATTTATAACGAATAACACTTGGAAATGAATTACATTTGGGAAGGGTAAAGTACTAAAGCTGATAATGTGTGAGCTAACATCTCAATAAATTACTTTAATCTGTAGAAGAAGCACTTGAAAATAACTAGAGCATACATTCGTGAGAAGCTCTTCTAAAACGAATACAATCTGGGCTTTATTGAAAGCAACGTTGACAGAGGTTTACCATATAACAATATCTAATCATTTAGGTAGTACAAGTATATATCGAAGTATAACAGTCATAGGCATGCAACGTGACTCAGTGGAGGAACATATTAAAGAGTCACAAACCATTCAACTTTTACAAATATCTTTATTCTAGTATGATAAAATATATATGTCAACGCTTTCAGCGATATAGGGTAAATGCAACTTGCAGGCTGGTGTTTTAAATGAGTCATGTGCTTCTGCATAAGCAAATGTATGCACAAGAGTGCATAAGTTCTATCCGTGCATAATTTTTATTCCGTCTGATTCGATTATTCTGCGATTTATTATTTGTGTTTCGTATATATAAACTGGCTTTGGCATGCTTATAACGGATGAGTCCAATGTTATTTGACAAATTGTGTTTGATAATGAAATATCATGAATTGTATTGTATTTAGCAATTCTACATGATGCCCGGTGGCACACATATTATAATAATTTGCAACAATGGTGCGTGATCGCGTGATTTGTTAGGTTAATTTATTTTTTCCCACTCTTCTGCGTACTGAGCTTTTATGCAATAAAATAGTAGCTATTGATAGAATTAGAGAGAAACCAAATTATAACTTTCAGAATACAATTTGTACAAGTTCACTAAGGGATCATATCACGTTGGACCTTAAATAACCATTTCTGGCCTGATGTTTTTTGTTGTTGTTGTTTTTCAGTTTTAAAATTAACCATTTAAGCAGTATTGTGAAAAATAAACATTAAATTATTTTAACTGTGTCATATACAGAAATATGGAGAATAACCTTTTGCAATCTAACCTACAAAATCTATACATTGTATTAAGAAGTATGCACGTTTACAACTTGGCCACCTTTCTCCATGAAAAAAATAAACTTGTGTTACTGCCGCATGCAAATAAACTACGATGTTCTCACCAGTAGGCGTCAATCCGGAAGTACTGTAGGGTTCTGATCTTAGGACGACACACTGCATAATGATAGATATACTGTAAACATCTCCTTTTTCTGAGCCTTTAAGCCCAGGAACCTGATCTCGAAGATGTTCTGGTGCCATGCACAACAGATCTGAAATTGATGAAGTCAACTTGAAGTTAATTGAAGAATACCTCGGACTTATTGTCAAGTTTAGGTTAATTTAAAGAATACCATTAAATAATTTTATTAATGTTAAATATTTTGTAAGAGAAGATCTTGAAAATGAGGTTTCATATTATAATTCATTGTCTTAACATTTAGGTAATTAATTAAGTTGAATCGTTATTTCAATTTGCCTTACAAGTTCGAAATTAAAGTGGATCGTTTAACTAGAACACATGACTGCACTTGAAAATGATTAATACAAATTGGATTGTTTACCTTTGTCTTTATGTTTTGGAGTATATTTAATAGCACCATAGAAGCTTGGAAGCCCGAAATCCGACACCTTGAGTACCCATCGACTGTCTATCAAACAGTTGCGACATTTAAGATTTCCATGCCACCGCACGGAACTGTTATGTATATATCTGACACCCTTAAAATAAAATATTACATCTAAGTATTTTGTTGTTGTTTTTTTTTCAAATAAATCTTATAGCGCTGTATGGTCCACCGTGTTTGTATAAATGTCTCTACATATTGCATCATTAACTATGCATGTTTCAATCATCTTTGTGATTTCTTTAGAAGAATGTTTTACTTTTAAAATTGTTTGAAATTTACATTTTTTATAATGACTGTCAGTTTTTATGCATAACTATTGTCGATTGTTATTGTAAAAGATGCACTTTAGATAAATGTATTTAAATAAAATGCGTTTTCATTTTGTTACGCGTGACATTACCAATTTCTCCGTTTAAATCAAATATAAGATTCTTTACATCGGAAACAACTTTTATGTATTGACTTGACTTGTAAACGACAAGCATTTAATGCATAACGTATGGATAAACCTTATACGCATTATGCTAGTTCCTGTTTACATTCTTCATCTTCATTAAATATGTAATTGTGTGTATATGTAAACTTCACTTACCCTTATGAGATCTGTAAGTAATGAGACCTTGAAGTCCCAGTCAAGCTTTATATCATGATTTTTGAGAACATCCTGAAAAATAGGATTATATAATTATATTTATAATAATAATAACTATGGTCGCTTTGTTTAATTACTTTCCTGTAGTCCATTCCGCTAGCAATAAGGTGCTGTGCCAAAAAACTTTACAGAACAGGGTCATGGCAATTGGCCTGTTGTCGTTCTGTTGTTAACCGCGCGAACGGAAGGAATTGCTGAGTTTGTTTTGTTCTTATATTTTAATTAACAAAAACGCGCCGCGCGAAAAGGCAAACAGTGAATTTGCTTTGGATAGTCGATAGCGGAATTAAAGCAAAAAAATCATGGAAACCGTTCCAATAAATAAGCAAGTAATTAAAAAAAAACAATTACACGCCGTGCAAAAAAGCGAAACGTGAATTTGGTTTGTTGTTGCATTTTCGTTATAACAACTGAACAACTCGTCGTGTGCGAAACAATGTGAAACGTTTTTTTTTCTTTCTTTTTTTGTGGGAGGGGGGTGAAAGCCAAGTTACACACAACAAAAACGAAACAATTAATTAGAAAAACATACGTAAGCAAGTATATTTATAAAAATAGAAATTTAACACACTTCTTAAGAATATATTGATTACTTTTTTAAGTCTTACATTTAATAAGACCATTTGCTTTATAGTGTCAAACAAATCATATCTAACCTCAAGACTACCTCTGCTGCAAAAATCTGTTATTATTGCTGGAACATGCTGGTCGTCATAGAAACCAACAAATAAATTCACGTTTTCATGCCGTACATCTTTTAGCTGAAATCATATATTATTGCAAATGTCATCATTTATTCGACTTGAAAAAAAAACCAATAAAACAAACGAATATCAGATCAGAATATGAACAGAAATAATGTTCAACAACAGATTTAGTTTCAAGCTATCTCAAATTTTCTAATTTTCAAGTAAACTCAAAATATTTAATAATGCTGTACAATTTGAAACTATCGCAGCTGATTTAATGCATTCATTCAAAGTTAGATATTGCCTTCGTATGTCGTGGTGTTATATTCTTGTAGTGTCTTAAATACATAATGAGACAGTAAACTGATATCTTGGAGGGCTGGAAATGAGAGCAAAAAGTAAAGTTTAACTAATATTTAGTTTTGATTATGTTAATAGAAAATAATATCGTTAATTATTTAGTACATTTGTATTTGTTTTGAAGTAAGTATTTGTAAATATTAGTAAAATTTATATAAAAGTATATGATTTAGAAAGAAATTTTAATTGGACTAGAACTTAATACTTACCGTTTTTATGACCTGTAGCACCTTACTTTTCATTTCAAAGTTTTTAATATTTAGTTCTTTAACATGAACCAAATCGCCCTGTAAAAGTGAAAAACGATTCCGTTAGTGTAACACCATTAATAATGCATATGTATACAAGCGTACATAATAGTCAATATTTTTTTTCTTTTCGTGTTTCTTGTTTAATAAACAACAAAATGCTGATTTTACAGTTACTTTGGTTATGAAGCTTACAAAACTTTGAAGTAAATCTAATACCCAATGGGAAATATCGACGTCTTAGTAATAACTTCAGATAAATTCTACAAACTGTCACAATTTCATCTTCTCTCTTAAAATATTTATGTTTTTTTAAAGATATATTGCCGTTAAAATTTCAGAAAGTATCTGAAAATATCTACGTTTCAATGACACGACAGTAATGTGTGTGTTATTGTCATAAAATGTTATGAAATATATGATGTAATACTTTCATTATATAAAGATGTTATTGTTACGTTAATATATGTTATATTTACTTTATAAGCTGTTATGTTTACATTCAAATGTTAAACCTACTGTATGAGGTGTTAAACTTACATTGTAATATGTTTAATTGACATTATAAGATGTTATATGATGATATGTAAAACTTAATAAGAAAACTTAATAAGATTTTATACTGTCATTATAAGATTTTATACTGACATTATAAGATTTATTACTGTCATTCTAAGTTTTTATACTGTAATTATAGGATTTTATATTGACATTATAGATATGATACTTACATTTTAAAATTTCATACTGACATTATACAATTTTATACTTACATTACAAGATTTTATGCTGACATTATATGATTTTATACTTACATTTTAAGAAATTATACTTACATTTAAAGATTCTATACAAAAAAAATTATAAGATTTTACACTGACATTAGAAGATTTTATACTTTCATTATAAGATATTATACTTACATTATATCTTGCTGTATCCGTTATATCAGCATATTCATGGAGACTAACCATTGACCTATTTGTTGCTGTTCTGCCACTGGAGTCTTTTATCAGATCTGGTCTGTCTATCAGATTACTGTTACCATTCATTATCTATAAAGAACGAAAAATAAATAATTTCCTGAAATTTCATTTTGGAAAAGTGTTTTGCGTTGACAAAAACAACTTATTTGAACAAAAACAAATATAGATCTATATACTTTGTACGATAAGTAGCAAAGAAAAAATAAAGGTAGATCGTTGACAACAATCACCCGTTTATTGTCTTTACAAAACTGAATGTCATTTTATTTATTCAAGTATTATTGCAACATTTTATTTTTATTGCAATATTTCTTGCAGCAAGAATTGCTTAAATAAGCATTTGAGGATCTCTTTTGAGCCTGTTTCAATCTAAAAAATACTTAACATGTATTCAATACTTAGTTAAAGAAAAGTTCTTTGTGTGCTTTGCGTATACATTTCATTCACAAAACATTGATTATTTGAAGTCTATAAACTTTATGATTATTTAAATGAGTGAAATGAGTTCCAGTTTCTCAGTTTATTATTCCTATTCCTCGTTCCATTCATTCAAATGGCAAATATTCAATGGTGTTGGAGAAATATATAATGAGGAAAGAAATGAATTACAAAACCAGTTCGCATACATATCCACTTTTATGCAATTTTCTGAAAGTTTGTGTAATTGTGTCATGGTCTTGTTTAAAACAGAAACTAAATGCAAGGTTTCATTATTTATTCAGTGAATATGTTTTCAGAATAGAATGATGCTTAAATAACATCACAATGTTTTCGAGTTGTTGTTAAGATTCGGTTCCAGAATTAATAAGAGAAAAACATAGCTATAATTAGATCTGATGACAGAAAACACAAAGAAATTGGATGTCTCCATTGATTACTTGGTGATTGAAAAAATATAGCATTGTTAAGATTGTGAATAAGGAAGAGTGAGGAGAATAAATCTTTGTGAACTTTGGTGTCACAGATAAATCTAACGTTGTTGAGTATGGTGCCACAGTAAATCTTACTTTGTTGAATATAGTGCCGACGATGAATCTACGTTTGTTTCGTATGATGTCGGAGATTAATATAACTTTGTCGAGTATAATGTCACAGATAAATTTTACTGGGCTGAGTACTTTGTCACAGATCAATCTAACTGTGTCGAGTATATGGAGTACTGTGTATCAGATAAATCTTACTTTGTTGTGTATGTAGCACGGCCAATTCTAACGTTGTTGAGCATGGTGTCACGAATTAATATTTTTTGTTGCGTATGGTGTCACATATAAATGTTACTTTGTTGAGTATTGTGTTTCAGATAAATATAATGGAGAGAAATAAGAATCCTTAAAGAAAGCCCAACACGGCAAAATCGAAAATGTTGCAGGCTCGGTTTGATTGAGCCTGTTCATGGACGGTACTGTCAAGTGCAAACTACCGTTCCGCCCCCAAGCACCGGCTTAAGCAGAATTCAACATTTAACATGAACTGGTAAAATTTAGAATTTTGAAACATCCGCAGATTGCTGAATACGGTGTCACGATTAAATCTTACTTAAACGACTCACCTTAGATCCTTTTTGAACGTCACGTTTGGATAAAAAGACGAGGTCGTCTTTCGATAACAGAACTTTATGTTGACCTTTAGACATATCTCTGTGTATAATCTTTCGCCTAAATCAAAATATGAAAACAAATATTATGCCAATCTAGAAAGAGTCTTTATATTCTATCGAGGTACATTCTTTAAAAAGAAAGTAAATGAATTTTCATAAAACAGATTATATAATGGTCATAGCACCATTAAAATGTAACAGAATGAATCCGTCATTTGTTTATTTGTGTTGAGTTTTTATACAAGATCAAGTCACATAGCACCATAAAAGAAAAGAAATCAAGAATAATTTTTATATTTAACATAAAAAAGTTGTGTAATGTTACTTATAATCTTTTGATAAATTTGTATGCCTCTGGATTCATCAGATTTAAGCTATTTTTATTTTTGATTATATCATCGTATACATACCACACAGTAATTATTGCAGTTGCTACCCTGGCAACAAACAAGACAGCTATGGCAATGGCAAGAATATAAAGAGCATCTAGTCCTCCCTCTGATTCTTGCCTGCAAGAAATTAAATGGAAGCATTGGTCGGGACCCAACACAATATTCTTTGGCCATCGAACCTGCAAAATGTTGTTGAATCATTCAATAAATAGATAGGCGGTAATACAGATTTCAACAATTCAAATTCAAATCTTCACGTTTATGCATAACGTTTCATTTTTGCGATCAACCATTTTTCGCCTGAGATTCGACATTTAACTTTTTCAATATTCTTAACAGCAATAAAACAAGAATAATCGTGTCGAGCGACATACTTACACTTTCTACTTCTTCTATTAAAGTTTCAGCACTTCCTTTCATTCAAGCAACTTATGTAACTTAAATGTTTTGCGAACTAATTTGTGTAAAAGTGTGTCTGGAAGTCAGAGTAAATCAAAACAAATCAGAGGGAAATCAATCTTAACAAATTTCTTTCTAAAAAGATTAATTTGTGCAAAATCGTCTAAAAATAAAACCCGAGAAATTTGTAACGACGCTAATGAATAAACCAAAGGTCACATCACAAAGTACAAATCTAGAGAAAAAGAGAAGCAGACCAAAATTATTAATAATTGTGCCAGTAATCATTTTGATACTCATCTAAATAACGTCCTTGGACGCCTTCAGGGTTAAATATCTATTTTTTACTTGCATCTTAAAGGGCTAAACACAAGATAAAACAAAGAACGGTACCTTTGAAAGTCCAATTATTACCCAATTACCGTCTGAAAACTGCTTTATTTCCTACACACGATCTTTTTGTCATTGTTTGATGTTCATATCACTCAGAACAAAATCGAATAGAATATTATTAGAAATGTCAGTTTTAAGTGTCCCGGAATATAACAGAAACGTGATATTGCTATACTACAAAAATAATACTATATTTAAAATGTTTATAAAAAAATGTTTCATCTTCAAAAAAGGAAAACACGTGAAACATATTTATGATAAAATACTTTGTATTCATTTTGTTTCAGCATTTCAGTTGTTTTGTGTTTTCTGTCACCCATAGGAGCCCATTTTATAGCTTCGTTGTAGCTTCTGGAATTTAAACCCCCTGAATAATGCATTTAAGTTAAACATCGTTCCCCTTTAATAAAAACGTATAAAGGGGAATTGGTTTTTTTAAATTTTTTCTTGAAAAACAATATAAAAGGAATTTTTTTTCGGGGGCTTTACTTAAAAGTAATATTTAAAAATTTTACTTTTTTAAAAGGTTTGTGGGGGAACAGATGAACAAAAATGTTCTTTTTAAAAAAGGGATTTTATTTTAAAACTATTTTTGAGGCGCCAAAAAAATCCTGAAAATTTAAAAAATACCAAAAAAATTTATATTTGATTGGTTGATGTCATGTAAATCCTTTGTATTGTTAAAAACGCTGGAATAATAAAATTTTGTTTGTAATATCTTTTCCCAAATGCCCGTAAGTTTATTTTTATTTAAAAAATTGCAGTTGAAAAGGAAAACCTTGTTCTTGGGTTTGTTTAGGTTCGGACTATGAGTAAAAAACGGTTAAAAGAATTTTAAATTTGGGCCCAAAATGGTTTAAAATGAAAAAGGGAAAAAACTTTTAAAGGGAAAAAAAGGGGTGTTAAAAAATGTTGCTTTAAATTGTGTTAGGTTGGCCCAAAATGTTTTTGGGTTGACTTGCGTTTGATGAATTGAGAAAAAGTTTTTTAGATTTGCATTTTATTCCCTTTTAAAATTTAAAAGGGAAGATCTAAAGTAAGAAGAATTTTCATTGGTTTTTTTAAAATACAAAATGAAAATCTTTAGAATCTCATTGCAATTCAAAATTGATGTAAAGAACAGTTCTTAACTAAAATAAAAGATATAGTTTTTGCCATTATGAAATAAAATGTAAAGGATAGTTCTTAAGCAATATGTACATTACAGTTCTTTAACTTTCTAGTTAAATTGCTCAGAAATTTAAGTTATGCTTAACAATACTTCTTGCATTCAGATATCATTACATTTATTAGTGAACTGTTTATGTTAGGTAAGAACTTACTGGGTTTATTTTAACTGCAGATCTGAGTTTAAAATTGTGTCAAAAATAATCAGAATAATATCAGAACATATCAGGTACTCTTAGTTTATCAAATTCATTGTGTCTTATATATTATATGATTATTGATTTGTTCAATTGATATATGTTTATAGTTTTTATAAATATTATATCTTTGCATATTAATCAAGTATTTTGTAACAAAACTGCTTTCCCGACTGTGTAGATGTTGGTATATAAATTGGGTTCACTTACCGAAATGCCAGAGGCTTGTTAAGAAACACATACGTCTTAAATTGTTCAATTTCCCAAGATTACTTATCCTACAAGAACTTATTACGTCAATGTTATACCAGCTATGCTATGCTTACATTTCTATATGACTTTGCATTAAAATTTAAGAACTAACATGTGCAAGTTAACAAGTTTTTCTTCGGCCGAGTATCTTTTAATATACTTCTTATTTTATATCATAAGTAACAATGTGCACGTGTTTATTATGGAACAGATTGTATCAGTATCAATGCTACGTGACCGTTTATTCATATAAATTAAATAAGCGTTACATATTTCCGGTTCTGTTAAACTTTTAAACTCTTTTAAAAATGTACACATACTACATGTACTACTACTTCTCTATTAAGTGCAAGCGCATACAGAACGGGCCAGGTCAGATAAAGATGTTACACTTTATAGAGAAGTAGTAGTTTGTGTATACATTTTAATGATCACATAGTTCAAATATCGCTGTCAAGGTTAACACATACGCCTGCTGAATAAAATCTTTCAATAGACTTAATCAAACATTAATGTATTGCCTCAGGAGATAATTTGTTAATTCCGTCTTAGTCTGGTTCTTTTATACATATGCCAGCATTTAGCATTTCATTGACTTGTTAAACAAAAGAACATAATAAGCCCTTAAAGTGACATTATGCTCATATTTTCATACTCAAGTTGAGCTAAATTCACTTTTTATTTTTAAGTTTGATTGTTGAAATGGTGTTTGACCAACAGTTTATTTTGGAAAATGTTTAGGATAAAATTTAAAATCTGCCTAAAATATAAAAGGACTGCCCCACTCTATTTATAAACTGAACGCTTCAGGTAAGTTCTAATTGATATTTCCAAAAAATCAGTTTTGATCCAAGGGTTATTTATTGTTTATGTGAAGTTAATTATCAAATTAAAATGAATAATGGCAATATAAAAACTTATTTTGACTTTCACCTATTCAATTACTGTTCACTTCAATGAACATAATGTCACTTTAAACGTGAACAAACCAATAGTTAATTTATTGTGTTGCAATTTCTAAAACGTTCTTCCGCAAGACGGGATTTCTTTTTTAGTTATTTTAACATTAGTCATATTTTGGATAAGTTTTGCCGAATGTAATCGTTTGATATGTTTGTTTATTCCGTATTCAAACAGAGTGACAAAAAAATGAAATTCCGTCCTCATCCTTTAAATTATTTCAATACAACGCCTATTAAAATATCCATTTTGTTAAAAAATATTTATTATTTGACATTGTTCTTGCATTTATAATTTTTTGTTGTTTTCTCTGTACAGTAATTTAATTTCAATAACTTGTTTAATTGCTGACACATTACATATTTTGCTGATTGCTGACATACATATTGCAAATGTGTTTAGTCTTTAATCTAAAGAAATAATTTAAATGCTTTAAATGAAAAAAGGGCGATAATTATGATCAAAATAATCAGTAGATAAAAGGTAACCATAAATATTGATAGAAGGTCCTGAAAAGAAATACTTAAAAGTAAATAAAAAAATCTGTTTCAGACTGATAGGACATTGTATTGTACAAAAATGAATATTTGAGGCAAGACATTTTGATTAAAAGGAAAAATCGATGTTCTAGATAACGATTTTTTTGTTTTACTTCTCTCGGAGCATATCTTTTAAAATTTAATTAAACCTAAATGGACTTCCGATAATGCATAACAAAGCTAAATTAGAAAAATAACGTTGTTTTATTGGTACAACAATTCTCTGTTACTTAATAGATTAAATAAGGCTTCTAATATGTTCTTATCTTCAAAGCTGAGCCAGTGTGATAATAAGCATTTGATCGGCTTGATAAAAGCTTGTACAAGTGGTCGTTATTATCCTATCAGATAATTAATTGCATACTTCCTTTACAATAACTGCGCGAGAATCAGATAAACCAAACAATCATCTGCTGCCATTCCACATACACTGTTTTGTCAATTTTAAATAATCTTATTTTAGATGACAAGTTTATTAAGGACATTATCGATCAGGTCGCATGTCCATAAGAATACCTTTCGCTAAAAATATCTCACACAACTTTGTTTGGAAAAGAGTGTCTAAACCGTTGATATTCATATTGTGTTTTTTTTCCTTTCAAAGCAATCTGTTTTCACATCACGAACGCTGTCTTTATCTTGAACACTAGGTTTTCTGTACAAGAATAGTTGCAAGGATTAGCCAATATATTAAAAACTAATACATGTATATACATCTATCAAATCCGTTGAGCGAACTGTTAAAATATGAGAC